ACAGAGTGTACTTTTCATTCAGTGTTCACATGATGCGATGAGGCTTACAGCTATTACAACACAGTGTGTGCCCTCGTAATAAAGTACTATTAGTGTTCCCAGTGTGGTCCTTATTCTTTGGAGCTTTTGTGGCGGTGTTCCCGCTCCCAAACCCCCTCAGCAACACTACATAACGGAGTCGACGTCCCAGAGAAAATAAAGTGCGACCTGTAATGAGAGGAGGGAGAGTGGACGGTCACTTCCCTGAGGTGTTTGTGCTCCTGCAAAGCCCCCAACCCCTCCTTACTGTACAGTATGTTACACAGCTAGCCTCCTCTTCCCCAAGTGATCAGTGAAGAGCACTCAAGACTAAAAGAGCCTTCAGACCTCTGAGGAGCGTAATTTATCAAATATTCATGGATGTGGTTTGAAATGTGATTGTGTCGCTGTGCACACAGAAGAAATATGACATTTCACAGCAGCTTTCTTCGAGTCCGTGTGGGAGTGCGAGGTGTTTACTGACTCGCCTTGACTCTAACCCTTCCTGTGGGCATATTGCAGTGTGCATGCAGCAATATCATTGATTTCAGATGAGCAGGATCCATTATACTTTAAATCCATGCAAAGAAAAGCCTTTATTTTCAGTGCAGCAGCTAATTAATTTCAGGACATCTCAGTGTGGCTGAAAAGTTCTTCAGTTGTGAACAGTACTGCAACTAATACAATCTTAAGAGCTTTAGATTCACTTAACTGCAGTTGGCTGAGGTCAGCAACATTTGTAGTATTCCAATTTGTTTTTACTGGGGCCAAAGTTGGGGGTTTAGTGAAGCAGATGGCAATATAATAAAATCTATCAAGCAGGGAACTCAAGGCATCTGCATGTATTGGGAAAACAGTCCAATCTAGATTATTGTCCTTGAACTGATGGTTGTCATCCAACAGTTTGCAATTTATGCCTGTGGAAATCGATCTTGAATTAATAAAATGTGTCTTAAAAAGCATCAACCAAAATCTGAGAGAAAAATAATCAATCATTACTAAAAGAAAAAAATAAATAAATAAAAAAAAAAAAACAGCTCCTGCTGCCGTTTCCATCATTTCTAAAGAAAACTATGGCCTATGTGTTTAATCACATTTTGATTAACATGTGCTAAATCTGCAAATCAGTTGCAGAATTAATTACATAATAGAAATCTGAACCTAACTTTACTCAGTTAAACATCAACCGAGTTTACAGAAACTTAATTGACAATATCTTAATTTTGGTAAGAACTCATTTCTGATACATACTGTACTATGATGAACCAAATACCTGATTTAGCATACATGATTTCACATTACATTTCTTGCTAGAAACTTTACAGATATGTTTTGGGGAACTCTGAGACTTAAAAAAGTGACCTTTGAGGTGGAAAAGTGTCATATTATTGCTGTAAAACATGCTGTAAGATTTTAACCCATTTCTTAAAATAATAAAACAATTAAATAACCAGAAAATCTACATTGTTATAAAAGCTCTGGAATTGACTTGCACATATTTAACTCTACAAAACTCATATCACCACATAGCCAACCAAACGCTAAAGAAACTGAGATTTCAAAGTAATCTGTTTAAGAGAGTTTCAAGCTTTACTGTAGCAGTGTCTGTTGCCTCTGGTTGTAGTGGAGTCACAGAATTGCAGGAAGCAGAGTCTATATTGCATGTGCTGATTACATTCCTCAAATCCTCTTACTATTTCTGGAGTTTCATTTTTCTATAGGGGGAACAGATGAAGCATGGAAGCTGAGGATGCCGTGGAAGCTTTATCACAGAGCAATAATCTCACAGTGAGAACATTCACAGCAGGGCTGAAGTGAATTAGCGATATTGAACTCCTACTTCAGAGAACAGCGGTGTGTGTGATGTCTTCAGCACAGCCGGAGTCAGACTGAATTTAGATTTAAGAGAAAAGTCCCAACATACATGACGAGGCCCGACTTAAATGTTTGAAAACTGAAACACGCCGCAGGATAACTCCTCTGATAGTTCCCAGCAGTAAATATCATGGATAGATTCAATCATTGCACATCTCCTTACTGCTGATGTTTAGTGTATTACATTAACATATTCACCCTTTGACATGCTCTACAAGAGATGCAATCTTTAATTATCTTTGCAAGCTTGTTTTTGTTCATCAAAACCAGCTTTTTTTTCACCCTCATGCTACATCTGGAAACTCTCTTCATTCCTCTGGTTAATATTTGAGTCATTTTTGCTTTGGGCTGTGTAGACGCTCTGCACCATAATATTACACAGCTAATTATAAAACCCCCTACACTCGTGTGGGACAGCTGGTGACAGTGCTAAGATCAATTCCAGCATAGCAGATGCGTTCTGTTCGATCTAATTGAAGGTCGACAAAGTTCACAGCTTCCTGCTGAGGTTTAGTTTTCTCAGACAAATTGAATATTTCCTCTAAATAAAATCCCCGGGGTTAGTTAAGGATGCTGTCTGGAAGTCAGTAACCAATAAAAATTAAGGTATTTATGGACAACTGTCTTTAAAAAAAATTGAAATCATTATTAAAATTGTATTTTTCACAGATTTTTGGAAAAATAGGTGCAAAAAGTAGTTCAATAACTAAAACTACATCATTAAGTGAAATTCAATTAAAGTGTAAAAATACTGAAAATGTAAGTTTGCACATGGCAGCTACAATGCGTCTGCTGCTATTATCACTTTGAGACTAACACATCTGTGTGTCTATAAAGTTTTGTAAGTCTACTCAGTGCTGAAGTCTTTACCTACAATTAATTACTAAAATAATTTGGTTTTAAGGCTGTTGTATTTCTTCCTGTTGTTCTTTTGTGTTAGACTTAAAAGCCAAACATATAGAACACATATAGAAGAGTCCCTCTGCACCTTTAAGATAAAGCTAAAGACCCAGCTCTTTCATGAATACCTACTAACTTAATGATGATGGTCTTGATATTATTGATGATGATGATGGTTGTGACGATGGTTTTTGTTTGATAACGACGACTTATAAGATGGTTTCTATACTGATTAGAGCTCTCAAGAACTGCCCTCAATGTTGTGCTTTTCCTCTGGTCACTTCCTGTCAGCACCTGTGTGTCCAATCAGACTCAAAGCTGATCGTTTGCTCTTCCTGACCTTGTTCCCTTTTTTCTAGATCCTTGCTTGTGTTGTACTTACTCTCTGATGTACGTCACTTTGGATAAAAGCGTCTGCTAAGTGAATTGTAGAAGCAACAGAGGAGACAGTGATGTGCGAGGAACTCCTCTCAACTCCTCTCATCTAGTGAAGTCAACAGTAAGATCAAAGTTCATCAGCTGTTAAGGTCACCAGTATCTCACTTTAAGTGTTATAGTGTGAGTGTCAACATAGTACAACTGTAAAGTGGGACAAAAATAACTACATCAGGATAATAGTGTTAACCAAAGGCCACGGAGGTCTCTAGAAGAAACTTATCTGTAACCATCTGTTTATTCTGCTGCTGAACCCACAGCTTGGAGCAAGAAGCAGCATAATTCATTAAAACTAAAGAGGAAACTCATTGAAGCCAAAGATAATAGTCTCAGTAATTAAAAGACTTCAGCTTGCTGTATTGAAAAACGCTTGGCTCTTACACCACCCGGCCCTGCTCGTTTTTCTGTTCCATACCACAGGAAATGCAGATGTCGTTTCCTGTCTCGACACTACAATATAGAATCGAGCGCTACGGTGGAAACCTTAGCCAGGAGAGCAGCAATTACATTACTCACATTATTGTAAACTGATCATGTGTGAAAAGACAAATAATTGTAGGGAGGGAGAGTTCAGCAGGGGAGCAGAACGACATTTTAGAGTAGAATTCAATGTGTTTCATTTTCTCTGCTCTGAAAAAGGATCTGGCTGCTGGATATATTCCAACCGCTTCTCTACACTGTAAGGCTTCCTCATGATACCGGAGATGGCTTCATTGGCACATTCTCACGTATAAAATCATTATGCGGAAACTCTCAACCTATTTATAGGTCTTTTCAATATCTGTTAACAGAGCTTTTTGCTTTTCACATCACCTCACCATGTCTTCAGATCGAGCTTTTGAAGACTTGGAATCTGCCAGGAAGAAGAGGTTAAGGTTAAAGCTCCTGAGTGGAGTTTTTAGTATGGTATGAAACAGCTAAAGATAAATACTGGGGCCTTTATATAACCTATTCAAACAAAAGAGACCGTCAGCTGAAACAGTGACTGTTTGTATATTGTTGTTCTTAATGCCTGTAACTGCTGCCACACGGTAGGTGTCATTGGACTGTCAAGTGAGATTAGATTTGTTTTTGTCAGAAAACACTTTGTCAGCATACACAGAACAATGAGAGTAAAGAGGAAATACATAGCAATCTGTCCACAAGGGGGCGTCAAAATGGACACAAACCAAAGCTATGAGAACAGAATTTCCATAGCTGATTTTCACTTCACACTCAAAGTTATCATAGAACAACAAAATAGACATAATGTGTTTTTTTCTGTCAATGGAAGAGAGGCGGAGTTAGCAAAATATTTTGTTTTCCCCATGGGTACGTCATGTGACCTCCATTACAAGAGACAAAACCTCAAAGAAATCAACTTACTTTGACTCGATTCCCATTAAAAGTATGTGATTATTTAAAAAAAAAAAGGCAGCCTCACCTTTTTCTCTTCTTTGAGGACTTCCAAATAGTTTTTGTTCCTGCCACCTTCAGGTTTCATAATCCCTCATTTCCAGCTTTATGCAGTCATTTCAGTACACACTCCTTTAGAAAATCCTTATTCCATGTTCTTCTCATGCATTGATTACAGAACCCTGCTGGATCTGAGGTACTTCTTCTTCTGTTGGATTTAATGGCGGTTGGCGTCCATATGTGTTTCATAACTGCCACCTACTGGGTTTTAACAGTTTGAAAGTGTGCATTTAAATAGTCCACAGATAGTTCTGCTTTCTCGTAACATTGCTCATTCTGAGACTCTTCAGAGTCTGTTCAAGTCATTTCCTCAGTATGCACCTTAAGCTGTTTGCAATCCACCAAAGAAATCCCAGAGAAGAAGAAGAGAAGAACCCCCTTCCCTAACAGGTGTCCTGCAACAAACAAAGGTAAGTTTTAGCAAATAAACAAACAAATACAAATTGCTTAAACGTGTAACTTACGATTCAATGAATCAAACTCTTAGCAGTAAGTTAGCTTCAACTCATTCATGTTTTTTTGATGCTAACTTATGCTAACACAAATAAACACCTAATAGTGAGTGATGCAAACAAAACAAATACTTTTAAGGAGGATGTCTGCTTTGGTTAACATTTAAGCTTTCTACAGTTAGCTTAGCTTAGCATAAGCTATTGATGTCATGACTTGGAGGTTTTTTGGCAAGCATTGACTTTAGGAACTCGATCGGTCGAACTCGATCGGTCCAACCAAGAAATTGTCAGATACAGCGCCTCCTATGAAATCTTTAAAAATGAAGTTCACATTAAGATTAAACAGATAAATCATTAAGCAAGGTTTATATACACATGAGGAGCTCCAATTTTATCACCTTTTCCTTCAAAAAATTAGATTAGTTATAGTTGCTAGCTTCAAACACTGGTGGCAAATCAGCGTTTGCTCTTAAATAATGGTACACAGTCTATTTTTGATGTATAGCTGGTGGGGTGTTTTAAACATTTCTCTACTAATCTGTTGTTGTTTTTGTCGCAACATAAATGGGTAAAGAAAAATGAAAGAAAAAGAAAATGTAAAACTTCCAACCAGTTCATTGCTATAAATGCCCCAGTGAATGCACCACTTAAACCTTGAATTTGTTATTAGTTTCTCCAAGTCTCAAAAGTTATGGGATTGTATTTTCTTTTAATCAGCCTCCTGTTGAGCTCAGCTGCTGCCAGATGAGCATTTGAAAGTGTGTGATTGCCATTAAAAAAAAAAAGAAAATCATGCAGAAGTAGTTATTTGGAGTAGATAATTAGGTGGAGAGAGGTCACATGAAAGTACTCTCCAGTCCAAACAAGCTCATTTGGATTTTATTTTAAATAAATGAACCTGCACGATTATGATTTTTAACCTCCATTTCCGTTGCATTTTCTTGTACCAGACTGCGTAACAGAGTTTAATGTTTATAAGAACTAGGTAAAACGATGACCAGATTAGTGATTACAGACAGGGGCGCCGTAAGGTGGAGAAAAGTAAGGACGATTCTGAGGATCCATGCCTGAAAGAAACATTGGATCATTGGTTAATATTTGTTCATATTAAATAATTTTCTTCACAGTGCGCTCATACCAATTACTTTCTTTGTATTTCCTGACATTCAGACAGCCTCAGTGTTGCTGCTGGTGGGGCCCGGTGAGATTTATTTTCATGGGTCCAAGAGTTCTTGCAGCCACACTGGTTCCAGATGAAGTCATTTTAGTACATTTTTCATTTTGCTTAATTTATTAAGGAGAAAATACCACAGAAATCAACCCTGAAAAGTTCAGTAGCAACTCTTTTTTTTGTGCCACTATCACTATAAAAGTAACCTTTGTTTCAAACGATACTTTTAGTTGTAATTTTGTCCTCCAGCGACATCACTTTCAAAGCTTCCAGCGTTTTATTGACCACTTTCCTCATGAATTACACATTAAACGCTGCCATTCAAAGGACCTTGTCAATTAATTTTGAGGAAGGTATTATGTAAATGTATTTCAACATTTTGACCCGTTTATCATTCAGTGTAAGTGAAACTGCTTTGATTGGTTAAATATTGCTTCTAACTGTGATCTGCTGTTTACCGGCAGACTCTGCTGAGGGGCTTGGGAGGCTGGCGCTGTTTTTTCACAGGCCTGTGATTGCCATCTTAATAGGCATTAATAAGAATGGAGTGATGGCACAAGGCACATTTGCAAACAGTACACTGAGAATAAAGTATCGAGGAATTAAGAACACTTGGGAAGGCAGCTATAATCTCGTAAAAATTAATTTATTCAATTAGCCCACTTTGGAATTGGATTATGCAGGAGAAATACAATTAGAAAGATAGATTAAAAACACCATCATATGTTGGAATCAGATAGCGGTTGCCACTCTAACATTCACTGTTCACTGTTTTTGTATTATTATAAAATGCAGCCAAAGCCTAGTAGCAACTAAAAAGATTGAAACCCCCCAATTCAAAAACCATACGAGAGCCCATGTGACACACATTCTGCTACAGTCAATTAGTAATTATTGAATAACATGGACATTGTCTGTCAGCAAAATCGACAAGACGCCTAAGTGTTTCATTTTATATCTGCAGGACTCTTGCAGAATAAAAAAGAAAGTGTTGATTGGAAGCCCCAATTCACAGCGAGATGTTAATTAGACCACTCGGTCCAATGTTTTCAGCTGACAGTCTAAAGGAGACAAAAAACTAAGTGAGGAGTCCAGATTTGTGTGACAGTTATGTGGACCGGGTGGTTTTACCAAATGTAAGTTATCAACTGCAGAAAAAAAATGCTTTTGATGAAAAGCAGTCGTTGGAATTAGGTTTTCATTTCTATGTGTAATCACCCCATATGTTTATGGTCATAGTCTAGGCTTTCAGTTATATTCTGTCTCTTAATGTAGTGGGACATTTTGTAGCTGTTGTAGAAAAAGGCTGACCTGACTCTATATTGTTTCCTTTTGGGACTTTGTTGAGCCACGGATGAGGAAAAATCTCTTCACAATGACCTTGCTGTACAACCCAACACAAGCTATTAAACCTACATCAACTCTCTGAGGATGGATTTATAGATTTCAGGAAGAAGCTCTTCCCCCAATGGGCTTCCACTTAAAGTGGAGTAGAAGTGGACTTCTCTTCAGGAGACGGGCTTCTTCTGGGGTTGCCGTTATTTTCCAGTACACATGCTCAAGGATAAAGTGTCATGTTGTGCAAAACAACACATTGATGAGAGAGGAATTTGACCATGCTTAGGTGTGTGGAGATCAGGAAACGGATGATAAAATATGCATGGTCCGGCCTTTGGTCTGAGACCTATGGAAAAAAGCATGAATAATAGATGTGATATATACTGTTGCTCCTATAGATTCATCTGTTTATGCCGGCTTTCTTTCAAAAGAAGCGTCTCTCTGAATTTGATATTATTGATGCAAGATCAAACCCATTCTTAGAACCTCTAAGCATGTCTTCCTGCTCTTAAAATCAGTTAAAGGTTCTCCGGCTTGCTGCAGCCTGCGGTAAAGCTTAAAGCCTATTAAAAGTTATGAGAAAGAGGTAAAATCTGGAAATGTTAGATAGTCATGAAAGTTTCTTAGCTCCCAGCTGCTTTAATAAGAAATTGAACCTCTGCAGCCTCGTGTCTTCATCTACAGCTGAGGCAAAATGGATGTTAATGGCTGACCGCAGCCACGTTAGTCCTCATCAATCATCCTACCATTCGGCCTGACAGCTTCTTCCACCATGTTGCAAAATAAGCCATATTTTTTTTTCTTTGCATGCCATTACAGAGCTGTGTGCAAATTGGATTGGTTAAACTGTCACTCAAAGACATACAGTACGTTAAGAAATGATCAGCATTACATTTTAGATAGTGCCATTTTTGAACAATTACACCTTTCTTTATTCATGAGCTTCATACTTTGATGCCAGGGCCGAGCCGTCAAGAGGGAATCTTGATGACAGTCATTGGATTTTAAGCTTGCTGATTCGACGAAACGAAGCAAGTGAAACGTGATGGAGGGTGTGTGAGTCAAACATGAATCAAGAAGTGTGCGAGTTTTTATGTCTACAGCACTACAACCATATTAAGGATTGTATGTTTTTGTCAAACCAGTTTATAGCCCAACACAGCAGATTGTGGTTTTTAATATTTGTTGCAAACTCTGAAATTACTCTTAACCTCAAAGGCTCAAGCTCCCCCCACCCCCTCCTGTCTCCACACTGAGACAGCAGCAGACAAGAACCAAATCAAATGTTTTAAAAGAACACTGAGGCACTTCATGCTGTCCATTTGACTTGGCTTTTCATGAAAGGGCTGCAGCAGAGACACCTGCAATAGAGTGACAGCTTGCAAAAGGATGACAGGGAGATCTACTGTTTTCAAACATGGTACTATAAAGCATTGATAAAATAGATTTTCAGTATTTATGTTCTGATAATGTATCCTTTGTTTTCACTCTCTTCTGCTTTTCAGAACTTGGTTTCCTGAGTGCACACATCAGACACATCTAGTGTTTGAAACAGACTTCTGCTTTTATCTCATGCAGACCTCGTTCACCTCAGCCTCTCGGTCATCCGGCCTTCACCTGCAGACTCTCTGAGGGACGGATGATACCCGAGAGGAAGCTTTCTTTACCTCCAGATGATCTCCAACAGATGTCATACAAAGTAGTGTATATACAGAGTGTTTAGTTTATTATTCACATGTCCTTCCTAGGTCAATAAACTGATAATGGACGAGAATGATTTGGAGATGTATGCAAAGAGAGAATGATTCAATCTGGAAGGTGATGAAATAATGTTTAATGAATATCTGACAACATTAAAAACAGACATTTCAAAGAATGGGGAAAAATCCCATGAAGCCCAGAGATAAAAGCTGGACCATATATGAGAAAAAGTGCATCGTTGTGGAGCTGCAGACGGATAACAACTCTGTCTTTGTCTTTTGCCAAACACAACCTCCGCTTCAAGATCTGTGCCTTCTTTGGTCTACCCTTCCCCAAATATCTCTTCAGCTGTGTTTTTATATGAAACATTTTACGGTTATTCAGAGGGAGAAATTTGTTTACGAAGCAATTTGTGTCCAGGATCACCCGTCATGAGCGAGAATCACAAATTTCCTCGACTCAGAGATGCTTCCTTTTCAAAATTGCAGGTCAAGTGCTCCTCCCAGGAGCTGAATCCATTAATACTAATGTATTATACACAAAGCACTCAAAAAACACAGATTAACGCAGCGGGTTTGAGAAAGTCCTGATATCTAACCTCCAGGACATATTGGATGAAAGAGGAAACCATGATTAGTTTGGCTGTGTGCATGCAGAAATGAAATTATAGCCATTGGCAAGGTCTATATGATCAGTACATGTAGGCTTTATTAAACTGTAATTAATCTGAAATGTGCCTTTGGTTATATTCAACTTAATATGATTACAGTGAAGTTTTGCCCTTCATTTAAAACTAACTTGTGATATTACTCGTATAGACGCCAAAAAAGTTTGTACATCTGCATTTTAAGGGGAGCAGGTTTTTTTTTCCTCAAGGGAGGCATGTAAATAAGATTAACTGACACTCTTTCTATCAGAAAAATATCCCCAAGGTTTCCACTTACACTTGGGATGATAAAAAATAAAGAATAAAAACTGTGACAACACACTCCCAGAAGTGCATTAGTATTTTTTTTTTAAGCCACAGGAGAGTTTTAAATCACCAGGGACAACACAACCACTTTAAGTAAAATACTTCCCTCTACCCTCCCCCCCATAAGATGGAAGTGGAGAGATGTATTATTTGTGAACACACACACATACATGGTGGAACAACTCAGTGGGATCGGTGTGACAGAATCCTTTGCCTTCAGCAGGAGTTCTAGCGCTGCAGGTGTGTGACGTTATTCACCGTGAGTCGGGAGCTGATGGACGCTGACATGTACAAGGTTATTGATCTGAAAGCTGCAGGGTTTTTTATTCAGTTCACTGTGAAGGATGTTTCCTGTGTGTTCACACGTACAGAGAGCTCTGTCTCTTCAGAATGTTTCTAACATTGGAGAACACAATGGGTGTTGTTAACTCACTTCAAGCTGCTATAGCCACAAGCTCATCCAAGCTTCTTGTGCTGTAAACGATCACATTCACACATTTAGATTTCTGCAGACACATAGAAATACAGGGCTACAATAGTTAAAGAGCAGCAACAGTAAAAGAACCTCTATTAAAGCTCCTGTAAGAAGTTTTTAGCTGGTAATGAAACTGACTCAAATTAACAGTGAAGCCTCTATATAACCTACAAAAAGGAAATGAGACTGTTCTTTCTGATCACTTCCAATGTTGTGGGAATAATTCAGATTGACGAGCCCTTGACCTACGTACCAACTAACGCACTATTTATTAACATGCACGCTTTAAAATTCAGCGATCTAGTAGATCTAAAAACTGCTCAGATAATGTTCAAAGCGTACAATCATTTGCTTCCCAACAGTATTCAGAGGTTTTTTGAAACTAGAGAGAGCCGGTATGAACTAAGGGGAATAGGTGTGTATAAAAAACCACAGGTAAGGACAAACATAAAGAACAGGTGTATTTCGGTGAAAGGGGTTTGTGGAATACTTATGACATGGAATTAAGAATGTGTAGTTCACGTTCCAGATTAAAAATGTTGTTTAAAAAAATGGTGTTAAACAAATATAAAAGGTCAGTTTGATTATTTTTTATTTTTTGACTTCTGTTTTGTTTTTTGTTTGTTTCATTTGTTTTGTTTTGAGTGAAATTCTTGGAACAAATTTTGTTCTGATATGTTCTGTTTTTTTTGTAACCAAACTAGTAGTGTCTTAAATAAAAAGATTTGTAACAAGGGTGGGTATAATAAGCTAAAGCTTCAGCCTACACCTTTTCGGTCAAAATGTTTTTTGTTTTTTTTTGTCTTTTTATGAATGCTTTGTGGATTTTGTATTTTTGTTCTAGCACTTCTGCGCATTTCCTAGTGGAGAACTTTGTATGTTGACCAAAATAAATGATTTCTACTACTTCTACTACTACCTAACATGTGAGCTGATTGATTGACATCCGACAAAAGCCATGCTTGTAGCCCACTTTTGCTTTCTACACAGCCATTGGATATAAGCCGGGTTTTAGAAATCTTCTAAATCTTCTCAATTTGCAGGACGCAGGACAGGTGATAAAAATGCTGTGCAGTCCTTCTTAAAGAGGGGCACCTGGTCACCCGACACATTGACAAGATAACTATTGTGTTCTTTAGTTGTTGTTGGAGAACAACGTTGCTTAACTTTGCATGTTTGATCAACTTTTTCATAGCAATGGGCGCTGCTCTTGTGGCGACCAGCAGCTGGTGTTTCTCAATCCACAGAGTTTTTTTCTCAGATTTTCTTTTTTACCAATGAGAGGATACTCAACATGAACATGCTTTTAAATATATCCAACAGCTCTGATAAGATTAGGAAAACAGCCAATCTAGGTCATATAGATCTTGATTTGTAACCTCACACCAAATCAAAGTAACATGAGACAGACTTTGAACTCCACAAAGAGCCATCCGGATGACCTTGGGCTCACATCTGAAACATCCCATTGTTATTGAACATGCGACAGAGATAGCACAGACAACAACTGTTTGTAGTCCAATCAATGGCAGTCCTTTCCCGCTTTCTCCTTTCTTTGCCAAAGGGCACAATGTTTCCTAACAGCGCATTAAAAAGATAGACTGTAATGTTCGGCAATTCTCTGAAGGGATTTGAGGCTACACATGAAGACGATCAGTGACGTGATGTGAGGAAAGAGGGGATAGAGAAGGTGACTGTGTATTTTTGCAGAGCTGGGAGCTGAACAGGAAATATTCTGATTGAATGATTCATCATATCGGCCTGACTGATGAAATATTCTCTGCATGAAAAGATGTAATCCACAAAAAGAGAAATCTAGGTGTTTAATTTAAAGCAAAATACTTCCCTTCCATTTCATTCATTGCAAGTCCTTAAAGCCAAACATAAGAGGATTATATAAATGCCAGACATAATAGTTATAGCCACAGCAGGTTTGTAAAGCTTTAGATTACTCAGTCAGAAGAGGGTGTGATACACAGTTATTGTTATGTTATTAGCTAACTCTATTGTTAGTTTGGGTTTGCCAGCGATTTACAAACTACCCCAATCAGGACGAACACATTAACAACATTAATGTTTTTTTAAGAGATGATGCGGACCAAGATTAATTAGAGGCACTCTTGCTCCTGTTATTGTGACAGCCACATGTAAAAAAAAAAAAAAAAAAAAAAAAAAAAAAGAAAAAGATTAAGTCTACCTCTATCTGATTTGATTTTAAATTAGAAAGGAAAAAGGTTGTTATTGTAAACTAATCAATGGATTCTTACTGTAGCAGGCACAGGTCAGCAGACACAGGACTGATGAGGTCTACATGGTTATAATACAATGTACATGTAATGTAATGGTTTTGGTACTTATTGCTTATTTTATTATCTCTATTCTATTTTATTTCCTACGGCTGTATTGTGTGAAGAGCAATGGTAACACTGAATTTCCCTGTGGGATTAATAAAGTATTTCTGATTCTGATTCTGATTCTGATATAAAATGAACTGTTTACTTTATTTCTGTAAAGCTATAGCTAATGTGTGATTGTTCACAGCAATGCAATGAGCAATCCCCCTTTTGTGTGTCTTTGCTCAGTGGCTTAAGTTGCTTCTTTATGGAATCAGTGAAGCTGATAGATTGTGCTCACCAAACTTTGTTTTTATACGATAAACGAATAACATATGTTACTGCAAGAAAGAACTTATAACATTATGAGAAGGTACCTTCTGATAAAGTGATAAGATGCAGAGGTCTGCCCAGCAACATGACAAATATAGATCTGTTTATGTAACTTAAGTTATCCTTTCCAATTCCTAGTTTCCTTTTTCCCACCATCCTTTATAAGCAGACCACTTACTTTAGTATATTCAGTTGTTTTTTTTTTTGCTTTTAAGGACCTGCCATAAGACAGATAATGAGATGTTAATGAACCCTATGACTGCAAATCAACAAATAAAATGAGCCATAATCAACCAGTGATGAGATAATTACTTGCTTTTAATGAAGTGCTCCTCGACCTAATTTACTGTCCTGGGAAAACCATTACACACACACCCAGAGCATTCTCTGCAGAGCTTTATCTGCAGACTATCAGATCAGGATATGTGATATGTTTCAAGCTGTTGGACTATTGAGTCTCTTATCAGAAAAAGCACAAGCGTCCTTTCCTGCCATCTTCAGTATTTCTGGCTCTGGGAAATCAAGTCGGAACCAGTTACACAGCAAACATGACGGGCTTGGAGTAAAAGCTTTCAAGAAGAAATAAGAGGGTGGTATAAAAGGAAGGTCCACTGTTGAACTCTGCAATTTGCTGACCTTGGTTTTCTTATGAAGACAAGTTGAAACAGGAACAGACATTAATGGAAAGTCTCAGTGAAGCAACACTCCACTCTGTCTGTTTGACTCTCACTTACTCTCCTCTCCAAGATACTTCCACTCCCAACACACATCAAATGGAG